GGGCCTGATGTGGGTCTGGATCATAATTGAGCCTGAACACAAAACCCAGGTCCAAGCCCAGAATTTCTAAGCCGGACTTGTACAAGTTAGGTCGGGCTGGACTGAAATGATCACCCCTAATTATACCTAACAATTGGGTCAAAAAGCTTTGAATTAATTTCAGATCCAGTTGAATTTTGGGTCGTGAAAACAAATGTTACACCCAAATCCTAAATGTTAGGATTAGGATCGATTCACCCGATCCGATTCAACACCTAATTGAGACTATTTAAGTGTTGAATAGTTTCAATATATATATATAATTTCTAACAATATATAAATAGTCTCAATTAGGTGTTGAATCGGATCGGGTTATTCTCAAATTCAGGTAATTAAATATGAGACCCTAATTTGATTTTTTCGGGTTGAATTGGGTCAGTCTTTTAACAGGTTTAATTTAGACCCCTGTTCTAGAATCTCTCTTTTTGGTTGGCTATTATTTGATTTAATGATTACATTGGCAGCAATCGATAGATTAGAATCTTTTATTCCAAAACTCACAATGGTAAGGCTGCTCAATCCTTTTTTTCATTTCCTTTCCCAAATTTACACTTTCAGATAGCAAACGAACAGCCTTTAGTTAAAATTCAAAAAGACAAAAAACTCGGTAAAATGTCCGCAATTTATGCTAGAGACAGTTGGATAATTAGCCACGTGTTATGACCATGCTCTCTTGTAACAACTAGACGAGACCGGATCTGCTCCTCACACCTGACACCTCACACACACATCTTATCATACATTGGGAACATCTCCCGTACTTATATGTTTTTGAGAGACTCCCAATGCACGGTGAATGTGCATGTGAGGCACCCATTTGTGAGGAACAGATCCCATCACTTGGATAACTCGGGCCAGCCTGAATTGGGATCTGCTCCTCACACAGGGCGCATATTCGATCTCACGTATACATCTCATCATGTATTGGGAATATTTCTTTTGAATAATAATGTATAATAATGGGAAATGCTCCCAATGCATGATGCCATGTGTCTGTGAGATCAGTGTGAGGCGCCCTGTGTGAGGAATAAATCCGATCTGCCAGCACAAGGAGCAGCTTTCGTCAAAATCTGTCTGAGATGGCCCACCAGGTGGAGCCCATACTCATGGGTTTCTCTCTTCTGTTATACTTCATCGAGGTTGAGGTCGTTTATGCTGCGACGGCCAGGGTATTGGGTGTTTTCCGGCGTGGTTGTCATTTTCCCGGCCACCATTCTTTGTCCTTGCCTTTGTTTATTTTTTCTGAGTTAAACTAAGGTGGTGATTGGTGTGATGACTTCTCTGAGGGGAAAAATTATAAATAATGAATATAATATGGCTATCATTCTTTCGTTGTAAAGGTTCTTCGTAGTAAACAATTGGTGATGGTCGGATAGTTGTCAAATAGGGTCCATTTGATTTGCAATCAGAATAGGGAATCGAATGGGAATTGATATTTTTCGGAATTGGAATTGAAATGGTCTATTTTTATAGTCTGTTTCTTTTAAATACGAAAAGAAATGAAAATTGAAATAAGTGGAAATTAGACTTCATTGCTAAGGGAGGGGCAGGGAATGACCATTCCTTTAAATGAGAATGTGATTCTAATTCTGCACAACCAAACAGCTAGAATCACAATAACCCATTCCGATTCCAATTTCAGACCCTATTCCTATGAGTCAAACGGGGTCTTAGTCTTTGAGGCTCTATTTGTTTGCAGTTCAATTTCATTTGCACTAATATAGATTCATGCAAGGGAGTGCAAATGAGAAATTTGCAAATTTTGATTGATTTCTCCTTATTTTTTGCTTTGATTAAGGACTCATCTTCTATTTTACAGTCAAAATGCCAAATGCAGCCTTTGTTCTGCTAAATCTGCAATGCAAACAAAGTAAGTGAATTAGCGATTAAGAYGTTCTGCACTCTACAAATATATCTTCTCCGGTTCAGGTCAGTGCAAAGTGGGTTCGGATTTCCATGCCCATTTTGCATTCATCTCGTCTGTTTTCACAAGTGCAAAGTTATAGGACATATGCTAATGTTTGGCCTTTCCAATCGTTACAAAAAAAATGTGCATTAAGCTCAGGGTTTTTTGACTGTTATGGAAGAGATATTCAACTTTCTAATTTATATTTTAAATCTTAATTGGTGAAACAATTTTTGGTGATGTATCAATATTTTGTGCTAAGTATCTCACCATTTGGTTTGAGCTGGGGGCAGATTAAGTGCCGAGTTAATTGGGCCGAGCTGGGCAGGTCAGGTGCCGAACTGACTAGGCCAAGCTAGGAAGGTTAGGTGACAAGCTGACTGGGCCGAGCTAGGTAGGTTAGGTGACGAGCTGACTAAAGTGTCGAGTTGCCTATTAGGTGCCGAGCTGACCAGAGTGTCGAGCTGCCTATTAGGTGTCGAGCTGACCAGAGTGTTGAGCTGCCTGGGAGGTGCCGAGCTGCCTGGTGACGAGCTAGATTGATGAGATTCATTACTCTTTAGAGACCTGCAAGGAACCAAATGTCAAAGGACCCAGGGTGGCTAACCCGGCGAGGTCGCTCCGATGCTTAAGTTAGTACTCTCATAGTAGACTACGAGCTAAAAATCATAAAGTATGAGAGATAGAATTTGCTTACTTGCTTACTTGCCCCCTATGCCATTGGGGTTGGTGCCTTTATATAGGCATTGTTTGGCGTGGGTTTCACGCACCGCATCCGAGATTTTCGAGAGGTCGCCTAAGTGGTCTAAGATTCCCTGAGGAAACTGCCATGCACGTTGACCACCCTCTGGATCGTTCGGCACGTAGGCCAACTTCCAAGGATCGTGGGAGTGTTGGGATATGCATGCCGAATTTGTCGGCGAGCACGTCTCGCAAGTTGCTAGATCGGCGCATGTGCCAAGTCGACGCCTGGGCCAGGTCGCGCTGGGCTAGGCCGCCAGTTTGGACACCATCAACTTGGCAAGTTGTTGCATGAGTGGTTCCAGGCGTCACCTAGTTGTTCTGAGGTGCCACGTGTCACAATGTCATTAGAGAGCCAAATCCACCCTCATCACTAACCATTGTGGAAGAGCTTTTAAAATTTAATCCAACTCTTGTAAGTTCAATCAAGGTTTTTAAAACTGAATCAGACAATAAATCGATTAGGGGTTTGGTTCTCGAGTTGAATAATCCAATTGCTCAAACTAAACAAATGGCCTGTTCTGACAAAAAAAATAAAAAAATGATTAAAATCATTGGACGATTCGAACGGTTTGATCATCCGGGTCAGCAATTTACTAACCAAATCAATGGTTTTCGCAATATAATGATTCTAGGGTAAAATGGCCGACTGATTCCCGGTTTTCAGTTTGACCGTCTGATCCAGTCTGGTTTTGAAAACCATGAGTTCAACTGGTGTAGTTGCAAAAGCCAACCAAGAGTATACACCTTGTGACCAAAATATCTAATAATATTTTGGGGTTTTTACTAAAACAAAGAAAAGTCGATGTTTTTTTTTTATAGAACCATGAAAATAGTAATTTGATCGAAAAAGAGAAAAACATAATAGCATTTGAAATGAACAAAAATTGAATCGCATTGATGATCAATCACAACGATTAACTAAAACTCTTAAGTAAGAAATGGACATATTCCAATTTGCATGGGGACTAGAAGCCCTAGAAAGGGAAAAATGGTGAGGAAGAGCCCTAGAAAAGGAAAATTGGTGAGGGAGAGAGGGAGCTTGCGATCTCTCCAATTGCAAACGCCTCATCTTGAAGGATGATGCATTTGGGCTTTTCTCTTTCGGGACTATCACCACTTTGAAATCAAAAAACTCTAACAAACCAACCTTTGGGACTTCTGCTTATTCCCTCGTTCTCTGAAATGCAGAGAGGGTTGTTATGTTGACGGGGGCGGAGCTAGGAAATTTTCATGAGGGGGATTAAAACCTATGGTGAATTGGGGGGAGAGGGGGAACAAATATGGATGGATGGTCATAGGGGGGGCCAATCTATTGGAGTGGGGAATGGGAGAGAGGGAAGTTTACATGAAATAGTGGGGATTTTTGGGCCATAGCGGGGGCCATGGCTCCCCTGGGTCCTCCCTGACTCTGCCCTTGTATGTTGGGGCCCAGAATGAGTTTTTGGGTGAGAGCATGCTTTTTTGGGCCCTCAAATATAGTTATTGGTTCCACAAAGAAACGGGTCTGACTCACTTTTCTGGGCCTCAAAGATAGGGATGGCAATTTTCCCCATTTCCCTAATTCCCATGGGGTTCTACCTTGAATGGGACAAAGATGGTAATGATTTTCCCCTGTGGGATCTCCACTAATATATATGTATATATATATGTATGCATGTATGTATGTATATGTTATATATGTATATATAATATTTATATATTAATATTTTTTAAAATATGGTTTAATATGTTTGAATCTTTTGTAATAGGATTGTCAATTTTAATTATTTTATTTTTATTTTTTTAAATAAAATAAAAAATAAAAACAAAATGATTAACATTATAAAAATCACGGAAAATAAAAATCCCATGGGGACGGGGATAACCTTGTTCCCATTATAGAGACAAGGACCGGGATGGGGATAACTTTATCCCCCGTGGGGACAGAGATGGGGATGGGAATTTTCGCAGGGACGGGCCCTGCTCCGTTCCCATTCCTACTCAAAGATAGCTTATCGGTTACACAAAGAAACGGGTCAGATCGGGAGATTAATACAGCCGATTGGATTTGAATGAATCGGGTCGCATCCGGGTGCAATATATCCGGTTCACTTTTGCATGAGCACCAGCTCTGAAAAGGAATACTACCCGATCCGGGTATTAGTTAGATTCTCCATTGGTTAATGGTTATGTATCTTTTCGAGTATCGAGGTCCGACATATTTGATATAGATCATATTAGGCTTTTGAATCATTTGCTCCATTTTAGGATTGGAGGATTTCTTTTCGGGTGCAACCGGATCCGAAAACATCCAGGCGATTCGACCGATTCCGGTGTTCGTTGACCAAGTTATGAAACGGTAGAAGTTCGGACTTCGGTGTCCGGCAACAACAAAGTTCATTTCTCTGGTGGACCGTGGACGACTCTTTTAGTTTTCAGCTCTTTCATCTTGCGAAGAAGAGTTTGCAGTCTACAGCAGAAGAGATACAAAAATGGCTTCCTTCATTTCTCGTAGATTTGCTTGTACACTCCTAAAACCCTCTTATTCTTCTTCTGTTTCTGTATTTTCCAGCCATATGACCTTCCAAAATCGTAGCCCAAGCTCCTTCATTCAGGTCTCTCACTCAGACTCCGGTTTCAGATTCTCAAGGTTCTCAGCACAGAAGCTCGGAAACCCTGGTTTCCATCCATCTAACTTGCTCACCTCTCTCTCAGGTTCGAGAAGCAATCTAGGTCCAATCGTTTTCCCAGAAGAAAAACCCACAAACCCCAATCCCCCTTTCATCAGGTTATATTCAATTTCTGCAACTAAACCCAGAACTCCTGCTCATCTAGTTGAAAGACCCTTGAATTCTAAATTTAATTGGTTATCAGAGAAAACACTCAGAAACCCAGAGCTTAGATTTTTCTCAACTTCTTCAGATGATTTCGATTCTGAGAAATCCAATTACCCCAGTCAAAACCCGAAATTTAAACATCAAGAGATCGAGGGACCTACGGTCGAACGCGATGTCTCTGCTCTGGCCAATGAAACCCGAGATGTGTTAGAAGGACTGATGAAGACCATCTTTGATCTAAGCAAAGCTCTTGCCTTTCTGGGTCTTGTCCAGCTCGGCTGCGGTGCTTGGATTTCTTACATTACTCGATCTGCTCCGATTACGGAGGTCTCAATCCAGAGCTTGATGGCATTTGCATTCCCCTTCTCATTGGCATTCCTGCTCCGGCGGTCGTTGAAGCCAATGATCTTCTTCAGAAAGATGGAGGAACGAGGTCGGTTGCAGATTCTAACTCTAACCCTTCAGATCGCTAAGAATTTGAATCTCCTCTTTGTTCGAGTGCGTGGGGTTTCTTTGTTGTGTGTCGTGGGGATGTCAGCCGGATTGTTGTTTACTGTGTTCACGAGATGAGTTCTCAATTCCGTTCTGAATAAAAAGTTCTCTCTCTTTTGGGGCTTCCAATAGGAAATCTTAGCACAAATTGACAGTACGATATTGTTTCATTCTGTATTGACTCAGTTACTACCAGGCAAATAAGACAGGAAGATTTACAGTAAACCAGGTAAGGATCGATGTGGAAACGTGTTATAATTCAGGTGCCCATTGACACGACCAAGGACCCTCTTTAAATGCTCGGGCATTGGGTTCTACTCCCGAATGTCTCTGCATTCATGAGGCTCTTTGTCAATCAAATTGCTGTTAACCCCGGAGGAGATAGCTTCTTCTCCAAATGGTCTGCCCTGTTGAAGTAACCATGCACATAGTTGATGCAGAGATTCTAAAGCTTCAGCTCTTTGCTGGATTTGATTATCCCTTTGGGTCCTGGTGTCATCACCATGTAGAGTAGTCAGTGTACTCATTAATGAAATGTCATTGGTAATCCTTTTTATGTCATGAATGTCATCTTTTCCTGTTTTCTCTGAATGATTAAGGTCTTTGCTGACTTTGATTATCCCATTAAATTCTATGGCTGCATTTTCGGATGTCATGCAATCTGGGAGCATGTATGGAGTACGCAATGGGATCAAGTTTCTGCATTTGCTGTAAGACGCAGCTTCGTACCACATCAACATGCCTAACAGTTGGTGTGGTAAATGATGTAATTTCATTGTTAGGTGGGACTGGTGGGCTTAGGCCTGGAATTGCATATTTCTATTTTTGTGGTTTTAGTAGAACCAGCACCTCCAACCTCTATTATCAGCTTCTCTAACATCATCTGGATACTTTGCTAAACACATCTTCTGTGATCACTCATTTGTCTTGATAAGAACGTCTTCCACTTTATGTGAATGTTCGGATGGTTGATCCTTTTTTTCGCCTTTGTAGTTACCCATTGTCATCATAACCAAGGTGATATCATGCTAATGTTTTCCATCTATTGCAAACTATTGGGATTGGTTTGCTTTTCTTCACCATTGGCAGTCATCTCACTATTGTCAGGCACTGTCATCTGTAGTGGATAAACCATCTTGGTGTCATGTTTATCTGTTTTTAGGACAGAGGCTGTTGATAGCTCCTTATTGTGCAAGTTCCTTGGCTGTAAATTAGTGATTTCTGCAATTTGGATCAAAATTTATTGCCATTTCAGTGAATCCAATCTTGGTTCTTTGCCTCTATTATGTTTGCCGGCAGTGAACTTGCTAGAAAATCAACTTAGCATTAGCTTATTTCTTGAGTTTGCTGCAGACTTAATAGCTCTGCAGCCTAAAATGTGGATAAATGGTGGCATCAGAAATCAGATTATAATTTTTAAAACACGAAGGCGTGATGCAAGGCATTCCACTACCTGCAGGTGTAAGGCATAGTTCAAAATACAACAAGAAGGTATAAGCCTCCTTAAGGAGGATCTCCTCAGCATTGTCTTGATCAATGCCTCTGGTGTGCACCTCCGGGTGTTTTGAGGCGCTTTGCCTGGAGGCATGCACTGTTGGTCTATTTTCTAGCTTCTTCCTCAGCATTGTCTTGATCAATTGTTTGCCGTAAATGAACAGAAAGTTCTTTTTTTCATTCAGTAATTGCAGTATGGCATAGAAGGGCATGAGAATGAAGTTAGGGTCCTGAAACTTGCAATATAGATGAATACACAGTTGGAACTTGGGTGTGGGGAAATGGAGGGATCGTTTATCTTGTTAATCAGTCCAAATGAACAAGACAATACTAAATTGAAGTTAGGGTCAAGAAATCTAGATAAACTGAAAGACTTACTGGAGCTCTAGATGCACGTTGTTTGTTGTACAGCAATTTCACACATACAGCAACCTGATAAAGAGTTACTTACCAGCGGACTACAGATGGAGATATGTGAAATGAAACTACAGTGACCAAATATCTAATTTGTAGTTGTAAGGCATATCTGTAACTCTGCGAGGATTTGTGGGCACATACAGTAGGGAGTTCCCACAACCTGTATAGCATTTAAAGTGCATCTCTGACTCTGAGGTTGATGAAAGCGTCTAGCCAAGTATTGGGGAACATGAGTGCCCCAAAAGTTTAAAGAGAATTCATATATTAAAGAGAAGTTTTGGCTTTCTGATTCTTGACTCTTGAGCGTCGGCTTGGGAACTTCCTTTGGTTACAAGGTATAATTAGTCAGTATATGAATATCTCAAGTTTCCCAAAAACGACTCTTCCACATCTTCATTCTGGCATATCTTCAAGGCTATTGCGTTTGGAAGAAGGCACYGACTTTGAGATGAATTGGTAAGCCTTGAGAAATGCGATGTCTGTAATGGGAGAATCGGAGAAACTAATTTTCGGTGCAATGCCTTTTAGCGGCTAAATCTTCTGCAAATCAAACCAAAAAAAAGACCATACAGAGGTCTGTCAAGCTTCTAAATAACCGACAAACCGAGCGGAAAACACACGCCAAACGGGGCCGACAGTTTACACATTTGGTGCACCTCTATACAGACCACAAAAACATCACGAAATGGTACTATCTACAACTTTGCACCCGCAATGAAYCGAGCATTACAACGGCCATTGTTAACATTGATAAAAAGAAGGGAAATGCCYGATTAGCTTAAGCACGTCAATTCTCAAGACTCTGAAGGCAATGCCTCCATAACCCCCTCTATAAGGAATTAAGGATCATATGTTTTTTTTTCTCTTGGTGRCCTATGCCCTATTGCCTGGTTCAATGCTCTTATCTCAAGTATGCCTAATAGCTGGTTGGCCGTTTGCAACCACCAATTTTCAGCACATTTAGCATTCCGTCTTTTGATTACGATATCAAGATGACAAAAATGGAGAAAATGAAAATGTGCAAATTTCAAGTGGATCATAGATGCCTTTTTTGAGCTTTCCATCTCTAAAACTTTGACACGTACGTACGATTAATAAGCCCTTATTCGTTTGCAGTGCCATTTCATTTGCACTGGCGAAAGCAAATGAATTGGATGCAAATCCTGGTTCATTTTTGTTTTAAATTTTACTTTATTCTGATTTTTTTGGCATTAGAAATGAAGTGAAATAAAACTTAAAAGCAGGTAATAATTGAAGCATAAGTGGATTGGGTTTTGTGCAAATGAAATTGCATTACAAAACAAATCAGAGCCTAGGCACAAGATTGCACTCACTGAATATGATCGATGCCGTGCTTTCACAACGCCAAATAAACAGATTTAAAGACATTGGAGAGTCATCCCTACAATAGCCACGATTTTACACATTCTTTCAGTAGCAAATTTTTTCTATAAGAAAGACGCTGAGACAAGCCGTTCACTTGTGCTTTGTCTTCTTGGATTGCTTACGGCTTTCAACCTTCTTCCTTGCTGCTTCAAATTCCTCTTCGGTGGGCTCTGGATGTGATGCACCGCCATTATATTTKGCCATCAGTGATGAGAACATGGAATCAAATTGTTCTTTCCTCTGGCTTCGTCGTTGAGAAATAACTGCGAGCAACTCTGATTCAGACTCTTTATTTGATCTGCAATAATTTAAAAAAAAAAGTGGGTTAGGTTGGAAATAATCGAGTTTTCATGAAGTGAAACAAATATTTTGAGTGGGAGGCCAACTTTTTTCTTCGTTTTAGAGGATCAGTAGGTGGCTCTGTTTCAGCTATTTGCTTTGCCCACTTCTGGTAGGCTTTGGTTGTTTTAAGCTCTCCTGTCGAGGAAAAGTCTTTAATGTTATCAATCATGATTCATTGGTAGCTAGAGCCTGAAATCCATAAATATCATCCCTTTCAAAAAAGAAAAATGCATAAATATCACCCAAGGAATAGCAAGCACCCCTGAACAGTCCAGCACATTAATATGCTAAAGAATCATAACAAGATAGGCACAAGAAACCCTACCTGCAGCTATAGCCTCATCAAGAATATCCTTGAACCTGTGTGAATCCAGTTTAGGATCTGAACAGAGCATCGAACAGAAAAGCCTGTTGTGAACATCTCAAATGTCAATAAGGGTGCTCATGATAAACTGAAGAACCAAAAAATCAACTGAAACCAAGAAACTAAACCAACCAGTATATATTTAGTATTTTAAAAAATATTATAATATTATATTCATAATTATCCATTTATGATATAATATTATCTATATATTATGTATAAATATATATTAGACCCAGTCATGGGTCACAATACATGTATATGCAAACCTCTAGAGTCCATAACTTTGCACTTAGTTATCCAATTGGGGTGATCTTTATGCTGATTTTGGGTAACTTTTCCAAGATCTCTGTGTTCCACCTTGCCCCACTATTTTTGCCAAAGAAAAAACCCTTTTTTGACCTCAAATCTCAATTTTTAGCATTTTTATAAGTTAAAAATTAAAAACTGAAATAAAAAAATATAAATTAGACATGAAATAATGCAAATATTTCATGTAAAATGTAATTATACATTGCATTTGATTTTTAAAACACTGATTTATATTATATTTTTTCTGAGAAGCAAAAAAACACTAATATATATAGATAATATATAAATATAAAAAACCAAAGAACCAAACTGGTTAACTGGTTAAACAAGAGATTCAGTTTGGCACTTTAGAAAAACTGAAGGGACTGGTTTCAAAAATGTGCCCATGGTTCGGTACCCCTACCTGTGACCTTGTACCAGAGGAAAGACAGCATTACACAAAATTCTATACCTGTTCATTTTGCCCTTGTACTTCTGAAAAAGATCCTTCAAATCATTCTTCTCTGAATCAGACCCTCGGTAGTTTGCTTCAAACTCTTCAATATCAGCTTCTGTGACCTGCCATTAAAACAAACTAAGGAGTTTATCTCTATGCCTAAACAATGTTAACAAGAAACAGGAATCTGAAATTTTTATTATGCAAATACAATTGGTAGCACCTTTTTGTACATTGTTCTGAAATAGTCATGCAGATTTTGAGCAACTTCCCCTGCAAGGTCCTGCTCAAAATAACAATAGTCAGATGCAGAAAGTGGATAATTTTCTAGTAACAAATTAATCCAACAGAAAAGTCACAAAAAGGCAAGAGTGCTTTCAGGAGCTACTCACAGCATCATCAATACAACCAGTTTGATCATATAGTGCCCTTTTCTCTTCATCTCCAAGAATAGATATCACCTTCTGTAGTTGCTGAAATTTCTCTTTGGCTTCCTAGAAGCAGAAAAACGAAGCACACTAAAGACATGGACCAAYCCACAATAATACAACAGAAAATGGTGATTGGCATTATTGAGTTGAAAAAGTAAGACTTTCACCTCATCTCCAGGGTTCTTATCTGGATGTAAGCGCAACGCCAATTTATAATATGCTTTTTTAATTTCCTGTTGTGATGCTGTTCTCTCCACACCAAGAATCTACAAGAGCATTACTTCATCAGAATTTTTGTGATCTTCAATTCACAGAAGTGGTGACGAAATAATGTACAGTACATTACAAAGTAAAAAAATATATATATATATGCTAAACAACAAGTAATAAAAAACATACTCCAAGAGCTACTTTTTGTGATTCATCATGAGAATCTAAGAATTCAATGATAGACAATACATTCATCATAAAAAAATGATAGACAATAGGAGGACACCATATAAACCAGATATAACATTGCGTTAGGGTGGGTGGATTAGAATTTAGAACTTAGAAGTCACTCTTTTTTATTTTTCACTTGCACGACATAACCTCCAGAGAGGAGTCAAGACGTCATAGTTCCAGTGAGTYGGAGGCAGAGGAGGAAGTCAGTAGTAGAGACTGAGAGACAGAGAGACAAAGCCTCTTCTATATATTTTTCTTTTATTTGAGTGAAGGACTTCACAGCTGGCCACCTAATATTGGTTTTGTTATTTTGTAAGCTGGACTGGACTGGACCAACTTGGTTTGGGTTTTAGTTGGGTTAAACAGGTTTGTTGCCTTTTATAAGCCTATGCTCTGCATTGATGTAGCTGCCACCATATAGCTGGGAATTGGGATAAGGTTTGAATGATGAYGATGATTTGTGGGACACTTGTACTTACAGGTGAAGCTTTAATAGTGGGGTGAGTATTTCAAATTGGTTGTGTTTTCCTAGATTTCATCAAGGTTTTGAAAGGCTAAAGGCAAATGCAATGTRAGACAGATGGGACCAGAGAGTCGATGTATAACTGTATAAGCCTCGTTTATCAAAAAAGAAAAAACTGTATAMGCCTCAAAAAAGTTCAAAAAGTAACGAATGTTCTGTAAAGCATATAATAGCATAAAAAGCAATCAGGTAAGTTACTATTGTAATCTCTCTCTAATATTATTAATTGAATTCATGACAACAACAACAATAAAACTAACACAATAAAACAGAAACCAGAACATTATCCTAAACTCTATTGCTATTTATCAGGTCCTGATTTAATACATTTAAAATCCAGCAGAGAAGAGTACCATTAGACAAAGGCTCAATTTTTCCTTTGATCAAAATAGGGTTTGGTTTTYCTGATGCATTTCTTAATTCATGACTAAACTATCAACTATGTCACCATCCAGTTCACCTAACATTAAAAAGATCTGACAAGCTAAGGTCAAGGAACTACAAGAAGTTAACACTATAGGACAACTAAGAGGCTAGGCCAACAACCACATTGAGCATATTTCAAACCTCAAAAATCGATTGGGCTCAGAAGCAACCCAGATTAAGAATAGCCATTTTTTAGGGTCATGCAATTGACAGTATCTCACAAACTACAGCATGTTGACTGCTCTTTAGCACAATTTTACGTAGTTACCACCTTGATCCGCAATTTAATAGGATTTAACTCTACTTATACCAGTTATTATTTTATTAAGAAAAGCCATGGCCCTTTTTTGGTTGAAATGCAAAATTTTAATTTTTTTTGGCTCATGGGACCAAAATACCCAAAATCTCAGTTTGTTATAACTTTAGCATGTATTATTATTAAATTATAGTTTGAGATCAAGTTAGAAAAGTTGTAGGAGCAATAAGAAAGAAAACTCAGTATTTGAAATTAAACACTAGTACAAGAATTACAACTGTTTAAACTCATCCGGAATCAAAATGACTTTATTGGAATTGTGTCACATCTAGAAGAGACCATGCATGCAGTTGCCACATCCTGAGTACTGCTTATACATGAATTTAAGATGTGGATATTATCAACGTCTGGAATGATTAACTCTAAATTAATGTTAAACCTTTTYTATCAGCAACAAAGATAATGTTTAAACAATGTAAAAGAAAGAAAATATGTCGAAATTTGCATATTCAAACATAAAGATATAAACGTACAAAGAAACGGCACTCCTTAACTGGTTCGATGGAAATTTTCAAAACCAAGAATGTGAGATAGAACTGAATTGCTTTCAGGTTACAAAAATGAAGCAAAACAAATCAATGGGCATACAAAATAGGAACACAATGAACGACAACAAAAATAAAGCCAACGAAATTAACTGATTTCTTAACCAATACAAAAAAAAAAGAAAAGAAATTTTCCACGTTAAGCAAATGAAAACCTAACTCCCAATCTAGGGCACAAGATCATGTGACACTAGCACCAAACGAAGCCCTCAAAATCACATCGGAGGAAATACCAAAGTTAGAGAAGTTCAGAGGGGAGACCCAGGAAGTGACGAATGAGAGAGGGAACTACCTCATACAAACTCTTCTCTTTCTTCGGAGATTGGCTGAGATCCTCCTGGTTTCCGTGGTGCTCCCCATCAGCGTCATCAGAAACCCTAGTTTTCTTCCTCTTCGCCATTCCAGGGGCAAAACCTAAGCTCCGTCTCTCGGAAGCGAAATGAAACCTTCTATAAGCAAAAGAAGAAGAGGGAGAATAGAGGAAGAAACCTAGCACAGTCCCTATTCGCCAAAACATTCCCGCCATTTCTCGCGTGCTGCATTTTATCTCGGTTCTCTTTTCCCGCCGAACGATCCAGTGTTATGGTTATACCAGCTTTTCTGTTACGTACAATTAATCAGACGGTTTCGATAATCACAAGAAAACCATCAGTATATTGTTCATAATCAACGGTGAGATTTAGTAATGAACACTGTAGGTGTAGCCTTYCTCGTACCTTTCTATCGTACTCATGTTACACACCATCCATCTCGCAACTCCTTTTATGCCCTTAACTCGGCCAACATGAGAAAGAAACTTGGGCCGGCAGGACCTGAATTCATGAGTCACCAGGACGGACATGGACCAGTTCACTGGCCGCACAATTGAACCTGCTGACGAGATCGGCTTCTATCGGTGCAAATCTGTGTCGACACCATTCTAACTGGTACGGGTGTCCATGAAAAACCGAAAAATCAAATCGAATCGAGAAAATCAAACCATAAAATGTGGTTAATTGAACCAATCTCTTTGGTTTCGGTTTAGGATTTTTGAAATATCGAGAGATTGGTTTGGTTTTCGATTAACCTACAAAAAAACCGATCATTAATCGAACAGACCAATATATATTTTTATGTATATTTTATATATATTTTTAATATATGTCAAATATTTTTTATGTATTATATATAAATATATTTATATTATATTTATAATGACCTATTTATAAATATATTATATATTTTTCAAATATTTACAATATATTATGTATCATTTATTATTTATAACATAACATTTTATATATATTTGTATAATATATATTATAAATATAAAAAAYCGAAGAATCGAATTGGTCAAAAATCGAAACCGGCTGACCAATTAACCAGTGGTACCAGTTTGGTTTCGATTTGGGTTGGAAAAAAGTGGTACCACTGGTTCGGTTTACAAAAAAAAAGTGTCATGGTTCGGTTAACCGAATCGTGGACACCCCTACTAACAGCCTTTTGTAACCTTGCATTGGGAATATCTCCCCATGAAATAAAGCACACAAATAGGGAGATATAATCTCAATGCAAGACAATAAAAGCTGTCCAAATGAGCTTTGCCCTGATTGAAGCCGAACTTAGGGGTGGATACGAGCCGAGCTAAGCCGAATAGTACTAGGCTCAAGATTATTCTACAATGCTCAAGCTCGAGCTCGAGCTCGGTTCGAGCCAAAACCTTGAGCTCGAGCTCGGTTCGAGTCAAAAGTTCATAAGCTAAAGCTCGATTTTGAGAAAATGTATATTATAAAAAAATAAATATTATATATATAATTTTTTATTTTAAATTTTAAAAATTAAGAATTATAATATTTTTATTATATATTATTTTCTATAATTTTATTATATATTAAATATAATATATATATATATATATATATTTGAGCCGATCTCTAATAGGCTTGAGCTTGGCTTGTTTAATAATCAAGCTATTGAATTGGGCTCGAGCTCGGCTCAACTCAGTTGAACTCGAGCATCTCGTAAAAAGCTTAGCTCATTGCCACCCCTAGCCGAACTCCTACTAGGTCGGCCACTTTGCTCATGATTTCTAGATAAATGCTAGGTTAAATTGATCATCTTAGGGTTAAACTTTTGAATGTTCCATTTTAATACCTACAATTTCAAAAATATACATTTAAGTTCAATTCGATAAAGCTAATTATGACAATGCCTATATTTTGATTCCCTTGTTATTTAGGCTGCGCTTGTTTTTTGTGTAAATGAGAATTCGATGTAAAGCTTGACCATTAATTTACATTTGCATGTGTTTGTTTTGAATGTAAATATGGACTAGTGTAAAACTCTACACCCAATCTGCAGTTTTAGGCGTTTGTTTCCAATATAAAAATTTACATCAAAAACCAATATAAACCTCCTAATTAACTAATTTTTCCATCTATAATAAATGTAAATAATACATCAATTTATAGATATACATTTATATTGATTATCACATAAAAAAAGCTGCAACAGTCCATAAAAGTTTAAACCCACCAATTAACTTTTCCATCATTTTAATTTTATATTGATGATTGGGGGCAGTCTCACTTTTGAACACCTATTTTGTTGTCGCTTATTTGTGTATGAAGTAAAAAGTATAAGATAGATGAGCAGTGGAAAAAATATAATTAAAACATCGACATTTTCATAATTTTACCTTCTTTATAGTGTTAGTTTAATGAAATTAGACTTTAGCATGTTTGAAAGTTTAGGCCCTATCTCCAAAGTAGAAGGTGCCAACCTGCAATTTACGCTTATCAATTATACATGAACAATGGGATATTATTGTTAGGCTGAAACACACATCACGAAATGAAGCCATGTAGTTTTGATTAAAATAAAAGTATGTTTTTTAACCCCTTTAGTGGAAACCGAATTCAGTATAGAGATGTTCCCGGTGCAAAGCTGTTCAAACGGTGTTAGAATGGACCTTGCACTGGCTGAAGCCGATCTCCTCTAGTGGAAGGGTGGTCAACTTGAATTTTCTAACCCCATACAAATAGTTCTCTCTTTTAAATTAAACCCATCCCCTCGCAAARAAGAAACAACAACAAGATTCATAAATAAGGGTGTTAGTGGACCAGTTTTGAGCTGGATTCCAAATCAATTTGGACGGATTAAACGTTCCAACAAGACATTGGATTGGGCATGGTTCGTCCATAATAAATTTATATTGAATTGGGTTAGATTAAGCCAATATCTAGTCCATTGGTATAAGATAATAATATAGGTGTCAATGGGCTAGGTTTGGATTGTAACCAATTTAATTTAAAACAAATTGGGCAATCCAGTCCAAACATTGAATTGGACCAGCCCAAAATTTGTTTAAATTTGTTTTAAATTAAATTGGTTACAATCCAAACCTAGCCCATTGACACCTATATTATTATCTTATACCAATGGACTAGATATTGGCTTAATTGGACCAGCCCAAAATGGTCTAAAATATTCATTGGATTGGATTGGACCTGATCCATTTGTAATAGACTCACATTGGACTGGATCTAATTGAACCAAATCCAGTCCAATTGACACCCCTATACACAAGTACTATACATCAACAAAATAAGGCAATCAAAACAATATAAAGCCATGACATTAACCAATACAAAGACAGGGAATATGAGCTTCAATTTCTTTCCTTGAAAAGAGAAACAAATAGTAGGGATGGAGATTCTTTCCTTGAAAATTATTAACCTCTCCTTTTTCCACTCAGATTTGCTAGAAAGTCAGCATGAACTTCACTTGCATGATCATAAGAATAATTGCTGTTTTTATCATGATATACGTTATGCTCCACAAAAGGTGAATATTCCCTATCGTAGTTTCAACAAGTAAGGAAGTATCATTTTCAATTTCAATCTCTCTAATTTCCTAGTTTAAGCAACAATTTTGACCATAATAGAAGGCTGTGAACTCAGTTTGGATAGAAGACACATGACCACATAATAGTTTGAGAAAGCAAATCAAGCACTACCATCATAAGTTAGAAATTTCCTATCCCACCTAAACCCGGGTTTTCATGGCTTGCACCATCTATATTCAACTTAAAATCACAAGTTCTTGAGTAGTTCCACAAAACCGTCTAATTTTTTGGTTTATAGGGGTTTTTAAAATTGACCAGGGGAACAAACTGGCCAAGGGGGCCAGTTCTCGAGTCAAAAAATAAAAAACAGTCAAAACCATTGAGCGGTTCGAACAGTTTGACTGCCGGGTCAGCGGTTTGCTGACCAAATCAACATTTTTTGGCCAAAATCTGTTTTGGTGAAAAACAGTAACCGGTTCCCAGTTATTCCAGTCCGACCATCCAGTACGGTCCAGTTTTAAAAACCATGGTTTTTATCGATATTCAAGACATAGAGTAGAAAATTATTCTATATATTTCTTGATGGGCGCTTGACTTGTAGGGTATAGGTTTAATAACTATTTACTGATTTTTTTTTTAATAAGAGTGTGGGTATAAAGGCCCTTCCCTTCAACAATTCAAATTTATTTTACAAGTTAAGCATCCTCTTGTTTAATATCACCTACCAAGAAAATCACTTGTTTTCCTCCATATACCAGCCTACAACTTAATCGAATGGAAAGAATTTCTTTCTTTTTCTGTTTTGTTTCTATGATGGGTTGGTATAAGTGGGTTGGGAGAAATGTTAATCCTAAGCCTCCACTCCATCTACCACTGTGTTTTCAAAGCCTAAACTCCAAGAAAAGAGTACCATCAGTTCATTACGAAACAATTTCACTTCTGCATCACCCAATATGAAAACATGTAAAAACATATAAATGGTGGGAGTATCATAGGTTGATTTGCAAGAATAAAATTAAAATCTTTCAATGGCATGTAAAAGAAAAAAAAAAGAACTCCATCTCGTAGAAGGATGAAATAGGGGAAATCATAATCTATTCTATGTAATTAAAACATAGTTGTCCAGGCCAACTTATTCTCCATAATCTATTCTATGTAATTAAAATCTTGCTCCATAATCCTTTTAAATTCTTTGTTTTCTTTTTTTTTTTATTTTGAAATTAAAGAGAAAAATGAACATGTGATTTTTCTTTTTGAATTTTGTGGGTTGTTCAAGGTTTGGCTATGATATTAGAAATCGAATGCTATATACAAAACTTAGAAGGGTTTTTTAATTTTTTATAGATTCCTCCACCTCATAAATTTGTATAAGTTTGTACAGTTGGGAACAAGGACAGGTGGGAGAATCTATCACAATAACATATATGGGGAGTTTGGAATAACATTCAGAGAACCAACAAAAATTTCTAAAGGAGAGCAAACCATAAATTTCCCAAACTTTAAAACCAAACAATTGGTATCATAAAAGTGGTAACCGATGAGTTGGTATTCATCAAAATTTATGGGAGGGGGGGTTTAATTAATCAAAGCTCCTAGAATCATATCCTTACACATGAAGGAATTGAATAAACCACTATTTCATAGAACATGGGCATCTCTTAACACCAACATCCCATTTCATGGGTCTCTTCTAATAATCCATAAATACATCCCTTGCTTA